CGAGACAAGCCTCAAAACTTCTGGAACAAAGTTATTTGGAGTGATGAGACTAAAATTAAACGTTACATTTGGAGAGGACTCAACAATGCCCATGATGAAAAGTACACCATCCCTACTGTGAAACACGGAGGTGGATCGCTGATGTTTTGGGGGTGTGTGAGCTACACAGGCACAGGGAACTTGGCCAGAATTGATGGCAAGATGAATGCAGCACATTATCAGAAAATACTGGAGGAACATTTGCACTCATCAGCTCGGAAGCTGCGCATGGGACGCTCTTGGACATTCCAACATGACAACGATCCAAAGCACAAGGCCAAGTCAACTTGTCAATGGCTACAGCAGAAAAAAGTGAAGGTTCTGGAATGGCCATCTCAGTCTCCTGACCTCAATATCATTGAGCCACTTTGGGGAGATCTCAAACGTGCAGTTCATGCAAGACAGCCCAAGAATGTACAGGAACTGGAGACATTTTGCCAAGAAGAATGGGCAGCTTTACCATCTGAGAAGATAAAGTGTCTCATCCACAACTATCACAAAAGACTTCAGGCTGTCATTGATGCTAAAGGAGGCAATACAAGGTATTAAGAACTAGGGTATGTAAACTTTTGATCGGGGTCATTTGGGTATTTTCTGTTGTCATTATGATGTAAAAAAGGCCAACACAATTGTTTGATAATAAATGGCTTCACCCAACCACTAACCACGAGTGACAGAGAGGTTATTGTGTTATCATTCATATTCTCTGAAAAATGGCCAAAACATCACAAATTCTGCCAGGGTATGTAAACTTTTGAGCACAACTGTAAATAATATGCAATTTAAAACTATTGATGTAGACCCATTTTAATGTCGATGTCAACTACATTGACTAATCGCAGCAACCCAAATTGCAATACATCAGCCTTCTACTGGTCTGAAGGAATTTCAATGCTGTACCACATCCAAGGGCAAATGTAGTATGTATACAAGAGTCAATGTGGAAAAACTCATAACGGCACACGGAAAAATAAAGTATTTACTAAGTTTAATAGCAAGGTTGCTAGGTGGCAATTATACATAATCTAAGTAATAAACCACAAAAAATATGACTGATGTGTCAACTGGTTTTATTACTGATGATTATCAATGTTTTTGATTAGTTGTTGCAGCCCTGTGACTACCAGGCAGTACCATACAGACACACACAGATCCCATGTGATTTTCTTCTGAAATCACACGAACAAGCTCCAGTTAGCTGGCAAAAAATAACTGACCAATAGGCACAGTGGGCTGTACAAATAATTGGTATAATGTACCAGACCCCAAACTTGTGAAAACTAACACCAACAAACACAAAGTTATTATACTACCGTATCAATTTTTTAACTATACTTTTTAAAGATGAGCATGCATACAAATGACAATGTTTTACCTGGACTTCCCAGTCTCCCCCATACCCCCCAATCTCTCTCTGACCCACCCCCCCCACCTCTACAGGTGATTTGTCTCAGGTCTATCAGGTACCGATTTTTATCCATATAATGTTTTTGTGAAGTGGTAATAAGATCCATCAAAAGTCAAATAGTGTTTTGATGCAATGTCACTTAGTGGCACCAAAGGGAAGGGTTTAAGCAGACAACATTTGACTTTGTTAATATAATAAGTTAAAAAGTATTTGATCTTATTACTGCTTCACAAAAACATATGGATGATCTACAGCTGGTTTCATTTTCAGACAAACTGCCCAAAAAATGAAGCAGGAGCATTGTGTGGCAGCAAAGGAAGGAAAAGGCAGCTGTAGAAGACAGCCATGTGGACACAACTCAAAGTTTTTTACAGATCTTTGCAGGCACATAGTAGAAGAAATCAAATTCTGAGACCAATCTTGTCAAACCGCTTTATGATAGCAAAGAGTTGGCCATCTCATTTGATCTTGTCAGCATTATAACTCAGAAATTTGGCCGATCTTTACCAAACTTTGTAGGCACAATGTATGGATGAAGATTTGGACCTGCTCAAACAGACAATTTACACCAAAACTGACGAAACGGCACTTAGTGACAACAAAGGGAAGGACAAAATGATTAGACCCGCTCCCTGCCTTCTGGCTGCCTGGCGATTGGAGGGAGTGGTGGCACCGGCTTGTCATCTCCCCCCTGCTCCCCGTTTGTGTTTCAGATTTAACTGTATTTGACTCTCCCTGCCGGCCCCTGGAGGATGGGCTCCCCCTTTGAGTCTGGTCCCTCCCAAGGTTTCTTCCTTCTAGGGAGATTTTCCTTGCCACTGTCGCCTATGGCTTACTCACTGGGGGCTTTGGGTGGGGATGCTGTAAAGCGCTTTGGGACAATGTAATGTTGTGATAATGCGCTATACAAAAATAAATTTGTTGTTGTATTAGAGACTTATCCTTGTGAACAGGACGAATCAATGTTATTATGGTATTCTTGCTATTAGGTCTTTCATGGATTTTATTACCACTTTTCAAAAACATACAGATGAAAATCTACATCTAAAAATGTATACTTAAATCAGATTCAAAATTCTAACTGCAATGACAGGGCAGCAAAATTGGAACTGCAAGACAGAGGACAACCAAGAGCAAAAATGAAGCCTGCAGCTGCAATCTTGTGATCACAACCATTTACCATCTAAACTTATTCTATGGATCTTTTAGCAAACTTCCCAGGAACATTGTAGCTAACCCTATGTATATATTTTAATTAAGAATGTAATTTTTTTTGTTCAGGTTTATTTATTTTAACCTGATCAACCAGTACAAAAAAATAAAATGCTGTTTCCATATTAAGCTAATGAATGATTTAGTATAGTGTCAATGCTTGTCCTTTGGCTCAAAAGACTGCACTAACAATGCAGGAACAAGTAACCACCTAACTAGTGGGGAAAGATTCTGCAAACTGTCGTACAAGTGATATATACAATAAATTAATAAAATATAGTGCCACAGCAAGGACTCAGAGCAATTAGGTGTCATAGCACTTGTTAAGCTTTCACATTTCCAGGTGATCCATTCTAGAAATTATACAAATTGGGGAGTGTGGGATTAGTACAGATTAGATGAGGGGAACAAGTGACAGGGCTGTCCACTGAATGTAATGCTATCATTTCCAATGTCACCGGAATGATGGTCAGTGGAGTACTGCATCACAACACACAGAGCATCAAGCCCTGTTGCGTATGGGGCTGCATAGCTGTAGGTCAGTCAGTGAGACCATGCTGACCCCTGTCCACTGCCAAAACTGTCTACCATGGGCCGTGAGCATCAGAACTGGACTGTGGAATAATGGAAGGTGGTTTGATTCTCTCTTGCATCATGTGGATAGCCTGGTATGTGTCAAGCAACTGTGAGATGCGTTAGATCAACAGGTCCGATCCATGCCTATACAGCCCCATACACAAGGCATTGAGCCCTACTGTTTATCATGATACAGTACCCCATATATCTCACTACTCAGGTTGGGTGCCACTCATTTGAAGATTGGAGGTGTTGTGCCTGATGCTGTTACAATCAACCATGAATATCTTGAAAATTACTCTGTTGATCGCAATAAACTGGTTGGCAACTACTGTTGTAGAGGTTTGGGGGTGTGGGAGGAGTAAAACTTACATGGGGGGAGGGGGTGACAGGACTGTCTGGGGAATATATCATTGTCATTCCAACTGCATATTTTCTAGTTTATTTACCCATTTATTTTAATAAGACATTTCTTTCACTGACGCTGTCCAAGAATTTTCCTACCTAAATGCGACAAAGCTGGAAAGTCAAGAACTGTGATCAAAAAATATGGAAAAAAGATGCACAAAACATAAGGTATTACAGGAAAAAAAAATAAATCTGACACTTACCCACATTAAGAGGTAGGACGCAATAAGCACAGTCGGCTTCATTGGGTTTGAACTCTAATGCAGGCTTTTCCAGACGCAGGATATGGGAAAAAATGTACTGGTGCAGGCGAGTGATCAGTTCCAGCTGAGAAGCATTCAGGGTGAACTCTGACTTCTGGAGCTCAATAGAGATTGTGACCTCCCCAGACCGTGTATACACAGGAAAGTGCGGAATCTGCATTATAGAAATACCAATCATACAAAAATTATACAAGAACACTCAAATGTATAACACATTGTTCTGGAAAACATTAGGCAATCTTACAGAACATTAATATAAAGTAGCTTTTCCAGGCTTGGATTAACAGACAAATCTGATTAGAAAGGAAGGAAGGAAGGGACGGGCAGACAAATACCCGGGGTATTGGTTTTGCTGTCAATATTCCAAAGCATCTTGTTGTGTCCTCTGGTGGGTACAGTTTCCTCCTCCGAAAATTAAGTTCATCAGGTAAAGGGGTTGTGAGGACCATCCCAATCACATACAAGTAGTAGTGCTGCTGTGGCAAAGGATAACTTCCTCGAAGGCATTCGGGAATCTACAAGAAAGGAGTTCAAAATATTCTGCAGTCACTGTGAAAATAAAATACACAAATCGCAGTATTAAAAGAGCAGCATACTGCTTTTGGGTAGCACTGCCTCCGTTTTGTGGAACCAGGTCTTCCAGGTACATTTGTTTCCTCTTCATCGTGCAAATCCAGTTCCTCTTCATACTTCACAGTCTCCTTCCCAACAGGCATCAAATGATCATCCAATTCACCTAGTTAAGAAAAAGGTATACTATTTACTTGGGGGTTGACTATTCCATGAATAAAAGTAGCTGGATGCTTTTTCACTTAAGCATATTCTGCCATTGATTTAAGTTGTATTTATGTGCACTGTGTCGTATGTAAATGACCCTTATACATATTCTGCCCTTGATTTAAGTGCTTTTAATTGCATTTTTCACTACGTCCTAAGGAGGGCTGTATTAAGTCACACCCCCCAAAAAATATTGCCATTTTCAGAAAGCAAAACATTAAAAAAAAAAATTATTATAAATTAAAAAAGTTTGCTGCCATGTATTATAAATTTAGAAACAAATACTACAGTCCAAACAGGGGTAATTCAGATAATCTTATATAACAATATAATTAAATAATTAGATGATTTATATTATGTGATTTTTAAAAATGTTAAGCATTGGAAATGAAAAGTCATTTCTGACATCCTATTAACTGGTTGTGTGGTCAAATTCTAGGCTGTCCTTTAACTTTAAATGCACTAATTAAGTGACAACCAATGGGATAAAAGTTAACACTTTGTTAAACATCCAACACTTGCCTGGTGATCCACATTATGATATTAGGTGGCTTATTCTAGGTTAGTTTTGAGACATTTTGGTGAGTGAGCTGATATTTGCCACCCATAATTAATAACAGAGAAAAAACTAAAAATTATCAATCTGAGAGGACAAGACTATAATTAGAGTAATTGCCAAGAAATTGAAAATTCCTTTCCACACAATTGCTTATACCATCAAGAGACACCAACAAACTGGACCTAATCTGGACAGGAAGATGACTGGTAGTTCTAGATCCACTTCTGAAGCACAAGACAAAGCCACTTTTGAGAATTCCTAACAAGAGGAAAAGGTTTGCATGGGCCAAAGAACACAGAAACTGGTGTGCAGAAGACTGAAGCAAGGTGCTGTGGACTGGTTAATCGAAGTTTGAAATCTATGGTTCCTCAAAGAGGTGTTTGTGTGCCATCGCACCGTGAAGAGGATGCTGCAACAGTATATAACATCCCTTGTTAAGCATGGGGGAGGCAGTATGATATCTCCAAATTGTGCCACAACTATTTGAAAAGGAAAGAAAAAGAAAGGAAGCTGAATCTCATGGTCAGGCCATCATAGTCACCTGACCTGAACCTGACAGGGCTACTTTGGGATGAACTGGACAGAAAGGTCAAGGCGAAGCAGCCAACTAGTGCATCAGACCTGTGGACAATGATCCAGGAGCGTTGGAATTAACTTACAGAGAAGTATTTGCTGTCTCTTGAAGAAAGAATGCCTCAGTTTTGCTCTTCTGTTATAACTGTTGGAGGAGGTTACTTTGATGAATCAAAGATATTTCTTACTAATAAAGGTACTGAAATGGTGAACATACTGTAAATTTGTTTGCAAAGAATACTGAGTCTATGTTCAGTAAATATTAAGCGAGTAATATGCAAATGTAGAAAATGTGTGTAAAAACTTTTGACTGGTAGTGTATACAAGTATATACAAACTTTATTACCATTTGGCAGGATTCAAGTGGTATCTGAATTGTCAAAACACCAGGTAGGCAAATTAATTAGGCTAAAAGACTTGGACTAAAAATAACTCAATTAAAATGAGTTTTAAAAATGAAAGGTTCAATGGAAGTAGTGTGTCTTTGCAATCCAAGCCACAGTGCACATACTTGCACTTCTGCAAGGACGTAACTACTGTAAGTGCGTTTTTGACTTAAGTGCCAGATGGGAAATAGACCCCTAAATATCTAACATACTCCTTTTTTCCCCCGACTAACAACGGTTCAATTAAAAAACGAAAGCACCATTTGTGTAGAAGCACTTCACATTAAAAATGAATGAAAAAGCAGTCATCTGTCAGTACTTAAATATCACCGCTGCACGACTACAATGCAAATACATCTTAAAAGGATACATTCAAGTTTGATGGACTCACCCAACAATGGGAGGTTAGATATGTCTCGTTTAGCCCATCAAACTGCCTAGCCGGTCTCTGACATCACTTTCACTTAAATTTAGCTTATATGTCAAAATCACTGCTATAACGAAGGTTAGACTCATCGCTTAGCTGCATGATCTTACATAATATGGTACATAATAACTAGAGGTGCACTGATCCGATATTTGGGATTGGTATCAGCACTGATGCATGCCCAGTAGACAGACTGGTTCATCCATGTCAGATGCTTGTTTTCAGCAGTCAGTAAAAAGACAGAATCAATAAGAAATAGTTATTCGTACAATCACACGACAGCTCTTTCCCATCTCAGATGTGTTTTTGCAGCATTCAAGCTGAAGGCTAATGCTGCCACTCAGTGGGTGTAAGTGCAGTGACTTCCGCCTGCTGTGATATTATGCACATTCCCTTTGCAGGAGGAGTGCAAGAACATCAGATAAGAGGTTGTCAATCTGAAAGCATTTTACACATGAAACAACTAGTAGCACAGCAATTTGCAATATTTAAAAAAACAAAGTTTTTAGAGGTGGAAGTAGCATTTAGTGGAAAATCCTACAATCTAAAGCACATGCAATATGTAATATGAAAAATGCAATGGATGATCTCAGAGTTGCTAGCTTACAAGTACTGTTTTGCGCACTCATTACAGCTTGTGATACACGAGGGGCTGCTAACGCAATGTGTAAAAGTGTAAGTGATGCTGTTGCCAGTGGGAGAAATATTAAGGGGCATAAATATATATAAGCATTTGCCACTTGCATATACTTACTTCAAAGATATTCAAATTTAACTGCAAATGCCTCAAAAACACTTAAAACAAGATGTACGAATGAGGTGGAGCAGTACATTATGTACGATTGTAGTAGCCTTATTAAAGGTTTTAGCATACATTTTTTCCAGTAGTATTTACTAGTTTTAAAAAGCATTTATATATTTTATTATAATAAAATATTAAAGTAAAAAGAACTCTTGCATCGGAATCTGTATTGGTATCGGCAGTTGTGTATCGGAATTGGATTAGAACTGAAAAAATGCACATTGGCCCCTCCCTAGTAACAACCAAGTAATACGAATTATATTTTGTTAACATATTCTGTGTTTTGAGTATGGCTGAACGATACTAGAAAAAGTTCATATTGAGATACTTAGGAGCTGAAAATGAACTATATAGCCAAATAGAACTTACTATATACCAACTGTGTCTGTCAAGTAAGTTGACATGAGTTTTGCCAGCAAACACAAAGCAGTGCTGACATCACTTGCTTTTGCTCAATATTATCCCTATTGAATACAAAATATTTCCATTCAGCAGAATGAATGTCTTTTCATGACCAGTTCATATTTGCTTTTCTCCTCTGAACTGATCTATTTTTTCCTTTAATTTCTCACAAACATGCTTCATGGTCCATGAATCAGTCCAACAGCAAGGAAAAGAATGATTGTGGTATTCTCAGAGATCACATGCAATGCTCATACAAAGGCAGCTGTAGTAAACGTTAGACTGATTCTTTCTATACTCGATAATGATGAAAAGGAACCATTAAAACTGCAAAGCTTTCCGACGGTTTGGACCCAGAAGACTATCGCGGTCCTTGTGATGTGACAATTGCATATGTATGAAATGCCATGTCAGTATTAACATTGCACATCGTGCAAGTCTAGCTGCACAGTGCATAGCACTGTCACCACACACTGCCACTTTGTGTGTATGGAGTATGTATGTTCACCCTGTGTGTGTGTGTGTGTGTGTGTGTGTGTGGCTTTTTGCTGGATCTTCTGATTTCCTTATACTTTACAAAAACATTCAACCTAAGTAAACTGGAGTACCTAAACTGACCTTGTGTGGTGGAGTGTACACCCTGCAATGTATGGTTGCAATTGCCGCAAGGTAGGAACCAATGTGTGTGTTACAATATATTTAGTCAATGAATTGTTAAATTGAAAATCTGCAGATTACCTGAATAATCAGTAGTGACAGCCCTAATTTCACATTCTCGTTGGTGCATTGAAAAAAGAAAATGAATTTGAAATGTGTTATACCGTGATTATTTTACTGTTTAAATACAATGAAAAAATATTTAAAAAGCTGTTACCCATTTTGTGTAGTTTTTCACAGCAAAGAAGTGCAACTGCCTTCTCAGACAATCTTGCACAGTTCATTGCAGGCCCCTGCAATAAATATCAGCAGTCTTCAGTGAAGCACAATATTTTTTTTATATATATATATAAAGAATATGGTAAAAAAAAATGTCAGGCAAGGAATTTTAGCAATGCAATCAGTTCATCAATTTTTCTACACACTAAAAATTAAGACTTTTTTTTTTCTTTAAAACTAGATTGCTCACAGATCTTTCAAGCTGTAAAACTGTAAAAACACTCACAGTAATGGGAACTCTGAGTGGAGAATTGATGGGGAGATACAGTGTAGATCTGTAGGTTCCATCAGGCAGCTCCACTGTCTTGCACTTCGGAGCCAGGTGGGTGAAAGGATCACTGGGTAATCTTGCACAGTATCTACAATAAAGGAAGGTGGTGTGTGTGTATCCGTGCAAGCACACACACACACACAGTGACAAACATGCACAATTACACTACTTCTCTAAACCCAGGACGTACCACAATTGGAAAGTTCTTAAGTGCATACTGAGCTACCAGGGATATGGGCAGGTACATAATTGTGGGTTTTAATATTTCCAGTTTGCAACCCTCATCAAAAACCCCAAAACCGAAATATCAACAATACAAACAGTTGTAGTTCTTGTGCAAGCAACATTTCAAAGGCTGAGAAAGCAGTACAGGACCCCAATACCATTGTTTAGCTGCAGAGTGCCATTCTGTTGTGCTGTGCTCATCACCAGCTTCATTAACATTTTTATTCAATAAAGGTTTTGGTATGCACAGGGTTGGGTACCGAACTTAGGTACTTTTGTGGTACAAACCCAAATGCTCCAATCCTACTGAGGATCGAAAAATTTATTTTCCTTTGGTGCCAAATTCCGATACCCAAACAGAAAATCTCAGCGCCTGTCAGCCAATATGTATATAGTATACTTGTGTAAAGATTAGGGGTATAAATCACAGCTTTCCTCACGATACAATATCGATTCCTTAAGCCAACGGTTTGATTTTTTTTTTTTTATACCTCAGAAATTCCCACAATACGAAACGACTCGACTCGGTTCGATACTGGGGTTAGTATTTGAAATGATGAAATTTCACACAATCCTTTACATTTAAATGAATTAAAAAAGGCAAATATAATTAGCATTTTATCATATTTTATTGGGAACTGTAAACAAAATCTAGTGTAGTCAAGTATATTCCATTAATCAAGCAAAATAAAGTGCAAAAAGGTAAAAATAAAAACTTTGGATGGATGTAGATTAACATGGTGACTAATTTTTATTTTGAATCAAGTCTTCTCCAGACAAATACAAAAGTGTAACAAAAAGTATGCCCATAGCAAAAGTGCAATAAAGTCAAATAAAAAACATAGCATGGGACAGACATGTAGAATGTGGAAGATTAACATGACTGACTTCTGCGGAGAAACAAGTGTGTCAGTATTCTTCTTTGAGAGGTTTTTTTTTTTTTAAAAGAAAAATTAAATGGTCAATGCGTTCAGGAGATTTTGTGCTCTGAGGATAGCGTCCTGTGTCACCTGCTGTACTAAACACACACTCTGAAGGTACGATAGCTTGTGAGCTACTTATTAATGACCAAGTCAAAATGATCTACGTACTATAAAAATGCAAAACATATTTATGCATAAATAGAGTATTACTTAATATTATTATTACTATTATATTAATATTATTATTATGATTAATTCCCTTTGGGATCAAGTATTTTTTAATTGAACTGGGATTTTAGTTTCCTTTATCTTTATCAGCTCGCTTTTCAGAAGAAAGTTAATGTCGTAATTTTTATGAACAGTCCAAAAATGCTGCTCCACATTCCCCTTCTTCGGAATAGCAGTAGTAGACTGACAGATGAGGCAAATGCACTTTGAATATGACATGGTGGAAAAAAACAGTGGTAGGTTTTTGGCTTCTTTCTTGGTCCAGCTCCCCCATTAATTTTTATACCCTTAAGTTTTGTAGAAATAATTGGTGGCTAACTAGGTGACTCGGTAGCTTACAGCAGCTGTCGCGGTTGAACGCATCATCTATCCTTTATTTTTTTTATGCCATACAATCTACCCACACTACCTTTGCGATTGACCAGTAGATTGTGAGCGACGTATTGGGCACCCCTGGTGTAGACCATGTGTACTTCGGAGTGGAACATGAAAATACTAGAACAGGCGAGAAATTAAAAATGCATGCATCGACATTTATGCGGTCATGTCGATGCATCGGATCGTTTGCCATTAAAGCAATACAAAAATCAATGCATTGTTACACCCCTAGGAAAGATATAAAGTCACTTGTGATAGTATAACATTTCTTTAGACAGCCAAACACATATGCCCAGAGACAAACTTGTGAACTGGCTAGTATGTGTGTGTTGTTTTTTTGCGCGTAGTATAAATAAAAAAAAAGGCCTAAGAAATCAAAAGTGTGGTTCCAGGGGTTCCAGGCTGTAACAATTTTGTCAAATTTTGCGACTGTTTTTGGAGACAGTGAAACAAAATTTTATAATTAAGTGCACCGGTACTACTTTCAAATATGCCCCTCATTTATGTCCAAATAAACTCGCCATATAGTGCCTGACCACAGTCATATCACGTGAAACACCCGAAGAGAGCGAGAATTGGTGTGTATGTTTGTGTGTGTGTGTGTGTGTGAGGGAGATCATTGAAACTTGGTCTGACAGTTCCTCGGAGGCACTGCTGATGAGCTTATAGTGATAATCTTGCTGATTGCTTGACCACAAGCACCGGCACTGACATGGAGGTTACACAGAAGTGCAGAAAAAAGAAAGAAAGAAAGAAAAAAAAAAAAGACAGTAGATTAAATTATTTTTGTACCTCAATGCGATTGAATGTGTTTCCAGCCGGTGCCAGTGGTAAAACATGCCAACACTTATTAACGCTATGGGATAACGTAAAATCGACTTTTTATTCTGTGGAAAATGAAAAATAAATCTGGCCAGCAGATCGATCTAAGAATTATATACATGTCGCGGGTCATATAGGTAAAAAATCAGGGTTCTCAAGTCTCACGCATTGACCGTGGGAGACATACATTTCAACCTGTTCATACGCTCACACGCCACACCTCAAGTAAGTGATAACGCCCACAAGGGTGTCCCGTTACATAGAATTAATGGACAATACGCAGACATATGGAGTGGAGTGCAGAGTTCATAGCAGTCCTGAGTTATACAGAGTTAAGGGTCACCCGCAAATCAATCAGAAAAAAGCATTTGTTGTTTCCGGGTAAATTCCAAAATAATATACATGTGATTCCACTGCAAGAACGTTATTACATGGATGCGCGCACATATGGGGTGCAGACAAGGCGGAAGTGGCATCCCTAACAGATGTAATCTCAATCCAAATTTTTGATGAAACTTGGGTATGGGCTGATATTTGTGCCACTAGAACTGAATCTGAATTTTGTATATTTGAATCTGCAGTTGTCACATTACAAAACTGAATCTGAATTTATTAGTTTGAATCTGAATTCCAATAACTTGAAACTGCATTTATCCTACCCGGAAACTTTTCAGTTCACAAATTCAATTTCAACTTATTGAGACACACATCCAGGTCCTTGAGGAAAAGTAATCAACTGCAGGTTCAAAACACAACTCATTTCCACATTTACGACAGTTCTGCAGGTCAGGGCAAAGAGGAGGTGTGTGCCGGGGTGTCACAAGCGCATTACTTTATGATATGAGAATAAGATTTATATACACAAGCAATAGAATAAACATTGCCCATACGTCTGGTTAGTATGGTAGTATATGTGGTTAAATGAACAATTTCTGGCACTGCTAGTTTATGTTAATATGGTAGACTAATGCAAAACTAGCTAGGGATATGAATTTTACTTCTAGTTTAGTTTAAAGTTATGGCTCGCCTGTTCATCTCATGTGGCTTTCTAGCAGTGTTTATGTTAAATATCTTTTAAAATATTCATCTTGCCGATATGAGGCAGAAATCAGTATTAAATTTATGCGAGTATGGAATATTATTTAGCACTTCATAATGCATAGAGAATGTAATCATTAGCATTCTATAAGAAAGCTGATGTCAACTGTGCAGAGACTGATTTTGTAACCTTCAGAGAATGCAGACGAATTACTGCTGGGCACAATGTGACGAGAAACAAGTATGAATTAGCTTAGCACCTTGTGTTGGCTTAGAAGTTTCTGTATCTGTCAGCTATTTTGTTAGTCTTTGACGTATGAATATGTACTTTATTAGTGCTGCAGCTTATCACTCTGTTGAAGGACAAATATAACCTTTGTCAGCTGATGTCACACTCGCTATAGCCGCAGTGTATTGTGGGTCGAAATGCCATTTTGGGTGTATACAACTCAAGAGCGAGCATTTGCGTGTGGCATTATTTTTGGTAAGATGGGACACTCGTGCTGTGTGAAAGGCTGTCATACTAAATCACATGGTAGAAATGGCAGAAAGGTGGACCACAACATGAGATTTTTTCGGTTTCCCACTTGGAAAAGAGGATATGGACAGCAGGTAGAGGAGGTAACCAAGGCGTCGGGTGGCCTGGGTCGCAGCAATGAGATGGAAGGAGATCACTTTCAACACAATATCTCCCTTAATGTGTGTTTGCTCTCGGTATTTTCATAAAGGCAAGTAAGATGTTTAAGTAGTATTACTAAATATGCATTTTTTTTTTTTTGTCTTCTAAAGTTGGTGTTTTCACATTGGTTCACCTATGCTAGCAAGCTAGCTTCACTACAGAGGGTAGCAGAAATGGGTTAGTCTTTTCCTGTTAAACTAGCGTTACAGAGTAAATGCTTAACAGACAGAAGTAAACAGCAAAACTGTAATGACACGTTTATCAGTGCATGTATGTGTATATTCGTGTGCATGGATTATAAGCCACAATGCTGGGTGAGGCTGTCACTGTGCTGTGCTCTGACAAACAAATGTCCAACTATAGTTTAAGTTTAAGTTTAGAAACATGTACAAGTACGTTTTCTAATGTTTCACATGATGTCTAGAAGGATCTATATAAACTTATTGTATACCAAGCCTGTATTCTGCTTGCCACATATTTTATTTTAACCCTCTGGAGTCGGCGATCCCGCCGGCAGGATCTGACAGAAATTTCGCCAAACCGTTTAAATAACTGCGAAAAGGTTATATTTGTCCTTCAACAGAGTGATAAGCTGCAGCACTAATAAAGTACATATTCATACGTCAAAGACTAACAAAATAGCTGACAGATACAGAAACTTCTAAGCCAACACAAGGTGCTAAGCTAATTCATACTTGTTTCTCGTCACATTGTGCCCAGCAGTAATTCGTCTGCATTCTCTGAAGGTTACAAAATCAGTCTCTGCACAGTTGACATCAGCTTTCTTATAGAATGCTAATGATTACATTCTCTATGCATTATGAAGTGCTAAATAATATTCCATACTCGCATAAATTTAATACTGATTGTCATATGCACATTTAAAAAACACCCTCAGAAACCTTGGACAGTCTACTATCCAAATATATATAGGTAGAAACTAAATATATTTGTACAGCTTCGTGATACGAATAGGAAGAACAAGAGTGACTGACTTAAGCGTCTGCGTCTTGAAGCAGCTCTAATCGCCCACCCACTTGCAAATCGCGCTATTCGCATGATAATAACATGATAATCTGACAGTTAGTATTGGGTAAAGAAATATGCGAATACGCCCATTGTGATTGAAATAAACAAGAGCACATGTCTGGGTAGTGTTTACACTGATCGGCTACAATATAGCACACAGATATCTCTCTGCCGCTGAAGCTTTGCACCAGTGTTGCCACTTTCAGCAGCGAATCACATACCTGTGTTCACGGCTCAGTGGACACACAAGCCTGTATGCCTGTAATCATAATGTCACCAGTTCAAACCCAGCCTATTTAGAACGTGAATAGTGATCTTCAGCTGAGAGTGGTACTATACGCCCCCAATGCAGGTAAAACAAAGAAAGGTGACATGGTTTGCTTTTTTTTTTGCCAATTTAACCTAATTTTAAAAACTTTAATACTTCCAATAATGGAAGTTTTGAAAAGAAGGATTTAGCCAGTGTTTTTTTCATGATTCTGCATAATGATTTCAGCGAGATATAAACTGAAATACATGAGAAAGATATGTGGTCGACGATGCCCTCATCCCCAGAGCGTTAATAATAGTGAATTATTTTATTTCCGTTAACTCTGCATAGGCACTGAATCATACTCATATGGTCACAGTTTTTCATTTTTCATTCCATCTACCAATAAACTGTGAAAAGGATTTTATTGTTACTTCTCTTGCGTTTCAAACTACCTTTACAAAGTAATGGGTGTGGGGTGCAGTGACATTCCAGACTGATGGGCCATTGACAGTATGCAAACTACTACAGGTGTGGGGACACCTCTCTCATCAATATTCATTATGCAGGCCACTGACTTTGAGAAAAAGAGTGTTCTAGCACTTTAGTATTCAAACCACATAAAATTTCAGAATGTCTCTTTCACCTATGTGTAGCCAACCCCTGTGTCTATAAGCTTCAGAGCTCAAAAGTCTTGGCTAGAAATGTCTATAATGTGATTTTTTACAATTTCGCAGCATGTCTGAAAATAGGTTTTTGAAAAGCATATGTTTAAAGTTGATTTTAACCAAAAATAGAATAACATTCTAAGTACTCTCAGATTATTGGTGCTGAGTTTGTGCTGAATAAAAGCAAATGTAACACTTTGGGATAAATGTTTTTTAGATAGGTGAAATATTTCAAAATGTCAAGGCATGTCAGACTACCCTGGAGGTGGCTGAGAGGCCTCAGACTCCCAGGGGTTAAATATGACCAATAAAGTTATGTCCATGCAATGACATTTTTGTGGTGTTCTTGACACTTTTCCTTAATTAAACACCTAAATTACTAGTGTGTTTTGATAATGAAAACTGCCTATTACTGATCACATAAAACATTTTTGTGGAGAAAAAAAAAAAAAAAACACCGAATATGAAATATTAAGTTTGTTAACCAAATGTGTTTACATCCGCGATACTCAAAATGGCGAATGGGGGCGTGTCAGACAGTGCAGACACGTGACTGACAAAGACCGATGCAAGGTTTGCTACTAAAGGAAGGGATTTGCAAAAGTTCACAGCTGGGTATTTTAAAAAAACAACTAGAGATGGTCATGCCACCAATATGTTCAGCTGAGGGACCAAACAGTAAAAGAGATGATTGACAAACTTATCACCTAGGGGTTGTGGGGATCAAGGGAGAAAACAATGATGGTGAATGGTTGAAGAAATGATGATGCTTAAGTGACGAGATACACGATAAGAAAATGTATAAAATTAGTGTAAAACAGTATTAGACACACTCCAGCCTTGGCTGTAACCTCACTGTGGCAATAAAGGCTGAATCTGAAGATCTACACAAGCGGCTCCTGACTCCTGATTGGCGGGGAAGAAAAAAACAACACAAGTGCATCGATACACATACATCGATCTAAATGTAAGGTTATAAAGCAGGTTTGAGGTGCTATGCTTCTGGTCTGCTGCACGTCTACAGCGCACTGTGTACTGTGCTAATAACCGGGAGCATCAGTTGAACTGATGTTTAATACGGTGATCTGTTAAGCAGTGCTCGAAGTGGAAAAATAAAAGTGTCGCTAATGTATTGACCGTGAGAACTAGGGGTGTAAATACATCGATTTCTATCGACATATCGATTCAACAGCAAATGATCCAATGCATCGATGTGACCGCATAAATATTGATACATGCGTTATTTTCTCGTCTGTTCTAGTATTGTTTTCATGATCCACTCCGACGTATACATGGTCTACACCAGGGGTGCCCAATACGTCGATCGCGATATACTGGTCTATTGCAAAGGTAGTGTGGGTAGATCGTATGACATAAAAAAATAAAAGGATGGATGACGCGTTCAAACGAGCCAGCTGCTGCAAATCTTTAGCAAGCTACCGAGTCGCTGTTACGATCGTGTGACCGGCGAGCGAGCAGGGAGTGGGAAAGCAGTATCAGGGGAATGGAAATCCAAAGGACAGGGTTTATTCAGGGCGGACAGGTAACCACACAGTACAAACATTGACAGAGCAGTGGCCTGTACTACGAAGCGGGGTTACTGGCTTAATCGGGGTAACTTGTCGGATTTAAGGTACCACAGATTAAATGAACTTCATATTCGTTCACTTACATTTTGCCCAGACTACCTTAAATCTGACAAGTTACTCCAATAAGCCAGTAACCCCGCTTCGTAGTACAGGCCCCTGGGGAAACAGACTTGAACGCGGACTAAATACAGGGCATGACATCAGAATAAACACAAGACAGCTGATACGATGGGAATTTACACGCGAGTAACGAGGTGGGCGTGGCACATGAGGACTGGACACGCAGGTCATAACAGTCTCCTAGTTAGCCACCAATAATTTCTACTAAACTTAAGGGTATAAAAATGAATGGGGGAGCTGGACCAAGAAAGAAGCCAAAAACCTACCACTGTTTTTTTCCCCACCATGTCATATTCAAAGTGCATTTGCCTCATCTGTCAGTCTACTACTGCTATTCCGAAGAAGGGAAATGTAGAGCGGCATTTTCGCACTGTTCATGAAAACTACATTAACTTCCCTCCGAAAAGCGAGCTGAGAAATAGAAAGGTGAAGGAACTAAAATCCAAGTTCAATTCAAAAATACTTTATCCCAAAGGGAAGCTAGTAATAAAAATAAATCATATTAAAGAATACTCAATATTTTTATACATAAATATATGTTTTGCATTTTTATAGTAGGTAGATCACTTGATTTAGTCATTTATAAGTAGCTCGCAAGCTAGCATACCTTCAGAGCGTGTGTTTAGTACAGCAGGTGACATAGGACGCTATGCTCAGAGCACAAAATCTCCTGAACACGTTGACCATTTAATTTTTCTTTAAAAAAAACCTCTCAAAGAAGAATACTGACATACTTATTTCACCGCAGAAGTCAGTCATGTTAATCTTCCTCATTCTACATGTCTGTCCATGCTATGTTTTTTATTTGACTTTATTGCACTTTTGTTATGGGCATACTTTTTGTTACACTTTTGTATTTGTCTGGAGAAGACTTGATTCAAAATAAAAATTAGTCACCATGTTAATCTACATCCATCCAAAGTTTTTATTTTTACCTTATTGCACTTTATTATTTTGCTTGTTTTATGAGACATACTTGACTACACTAGATTTTGTTTACAGTTCCCAATAAAATATGATAAAATGCTAATTATATTTGCCTTTTTTAATTAATTGAAATGTAAAGTATTGTGTGAAATTTCATCATTTGGACTACTATCCCCAGTATCGAACCGAATCAAATTGTATCGTATCGTGGGAATTTCTGAGTTATCAAAAAAAATCAAACCGTTGGCTTAAGGAATCGATATTGTATCTTATCGCGAGGAAAGCTATGATTTACACCCCTAGTGAGAACGGCGGCGGGGGTGCAGTGGGGGTGCTGGGAACAACAGAAGCACCTCAACAACACTGTCAGCACTGCGTGCGCTGCCCCGCCACTCTCGTGTGATGCTTGTCTCTGAGTAGTACAGTACTGGAAACTTGTGAGAAGTGGTGGTACGATAAAGTTTAAAATATAGAAGTGCCGGTACTGCTTAATTTTTATTACGTATATGATGACTGCATATATGATCCCGCATTTGCACTTGCGACATCCTGGCACACGCCTCCTCTTTACCCCTCTAATAAAAGGCTGGGTACCATTATGATCACGATCAAGGTATCTAACAAAACAACTTGTTCAAATGAGAGAGATAAGTGCTGTAATGTTCAATGTATTATTCTTCTTGAAATTCATTTAAAACATATTGGCATCAAAAAAAAAAAAAAAAAAGTATTGTTCTGGAACCAGTATCGTTCTGGTACTACTAGAAAAAAAAAATTTGAACGATGTCCAGCCATAGGTTTGCAGACATTACAGTTTTGTCAAAATACAGTTAAAGGTGAAATATGCAAAAAAGATTTTGGTATTAAGCAGGAATTATGGCTTGATTTGATGATTTTATTTTGCAAGTTTTTCAGTAGCATCTTAAAAAAATTACCTGTTAACATGTCCAATTGCTGTGTTTATAGTGACTCGAGGACCACCATCTTCTGAGCGCAGCACATAAGGAGGTAAAAGATTTTCATCGTCCAATACATGTTCCACTTCAAAGTCACTGCATTCCACTGATTTTGAGCATTTATTCCTCAAAATCTACTTAAAGAAAAGATGGAAGTGTAAGTATTGTACATGTAAATCATATGAATGTATGCAAACTTACAATATATATAATTACCTTTTCAATAGCTTTGTATGTTTTTAAGTCTTCCTCAAAATCCTTTGTTTTCTCTGTGTCTGCAAGCATGATGTAATTGGAAATGGGGGCCCGTGCTCTTCCTTTAGATTGAACATAGGAACGATACTCTGTTGGCAAGTCAAAACGAACTACCAAGTTGCATTTCGGAATATCAACTCCTTCTTCCACAATATTAGTTGCAATGAGCAAATTAGTCTCATGGGCACGAAACTTGCGAAGAACCTAAGAAAGAAGAATGAGTTTAGTGAAAGACAGTGACTGAACTGCTTAAACCCAACAACAATGAATGCACACCTCCTCCTGTTTTCTGAATTCAATCTCCATTTGTTTGTTGCGAGGATGATTCTTGCCAATGCTGTGCCCAGTTATGAAGTTACTGCTGATATAAGCAAGCTCAGGGTCCTGCTTCCCAGCTTCCTTTATCAGCCTACAGAAAATTACATTCATTAATGGGCTGCAGAGGAAGCATGCTGTGATTCAAATCATTATTAGAATGGTAATTATTTTGAGTAAATGGAAAAAAAAAAATCTACAACAGAAATAACCAACTGAACTAATAACTAAGCATTTTCTCTCAACTGCCATTTAGTCTTACCGGTTAAGGACAACTGCTGTGTAGCGTCTCTCAACAAAAATAATTCCACAGAGGATATTAGTGAATGGAGAGGGAAAGCTGGCCTCCGACTTCTCCTTCACCTCAATCTCCTCATCCTCATCCTCATCCTCTGAATCACTCCACGATACATAGTTATCCTGATTGCGGTTGTTATACCACTCTACACTCTCAAACTGCTGCCGTTCAAAGGGTTTGTACTCCTTAAGGATCTCCAGCAGTCTAATTACTTTTGGAGTGACAAACTTAAGGTCCAAAGATGCAGGTGAAAAATGTTCTTCACAAAGTGCATGGACTTTCCTCAGAATAGTGTCTGTGAACAATAGGAATTTACGGTTCAAATCCTCTTGCTCATGCTTGACATACTTTTGCAGTTCCCTCACCATGATTCCTGCCACCTTATCTGCACACCAGGGGCCAAGCACAATTAGCACTCCTCTGCAATCACTCAGTACCTAGGCATGGACAGAATTAGTTAGATAGGAGAGCAGGGAGATGTCAACTCAACATGCATGCATGCATGCATGCCGAGAACTTATACGTTTATCATTGAATTGATAAAAGTTACAAATAATACATTTATAGCTACGATTTCATTAAGTTAAAATTTTGCTTGTTCAAGAAAAGCATATGGGTATGGTAATACAAAAGTACATTTAACCTACCTGTTTTGAAATGAATGTTGGATCTCGATCCTCTCGATGTGCAGGTACACTGCAGTCATCAAGAAAATAAATCGCATCATCCAACTCATGCAGAAGTCTCTGACAGAGTCCACTTGTGTCCGTGTAGGGTCCACAATCCAACACGACCTCACGAGGCTGTAAGGCATATCTGAGAAATGCACATAATAAAAGTGTTAGGTTTACTCAATTAAGTATTACAATTAAGAAAAAAAGTCCAGATCACGTTCCATGCAATACAAGAAACTGTTGAAAATACCTATCCAAGACAACAAGGTCAGTGGCAGTTTCTGCACTGCTTTTCAAGATCTTCTCCAAATTCTGAATCTTTTCCTCCAACTCTGATGGATCACATTTACCATTTAATATAGAAGCAGTGAGACCCAAAATTCGGGGACAGTCTGAATTGCTTTCACATATCTGAAAGAACAAACAAGACAGCACAGAACTAAATTACATAGAGTCACAACTAAATTGTTTAAAACTGAATTTTGAGAAAACAGCAATATCCTGAATATGGTGTTCAATGCTTTGTGCCCATACCCCAAGGACCCATATCAAAAGATAACAGCCACCCAAAGAACCAAATAAGATGTTACCTAGAGTGAGAAAAAAATAGAAAAGATGTAGTCATAACATCAACAATCTATTCCCCAGACAGCCCTGTCACCCTCTCTCCCCAATCTAATCCCTACCCCTCCCACCCCCAAAAAAACCTGTATAATTTCTACAACTACGGAATGGATCAAATGGAAATGTGAAACCCGAGTCCTAGCTGTGACACTTCTTTCCCCACCAATTAGGTGATTAACTGCATTTCTTTAGCCGTGTCCACATTCAAGGGCTGCATCCTTGAAAGGATGTGGTCTATGCAGCCTTCATTGGCTGCATTCTTCGAAGGTTCGTGCAATGAATTCTGGAATCTTGGCAAAAGAATAGCGCATTTCTAAGCTGCATTTGAGGGAGCTTTTGACGATGAGATGGCCTTGTTGCGCTCCTGTGACACATTCGGTTTTCAAATGTAGCCATAGCCGAATGCAGCACCTGAATGGACCCTTTTCACACTTCTGGATATCGTGTAACGGAAGTCATCATAGTAGGTAATTGAGGAAAGACGGTGGCAGGATCGTACCCTGATGAGAATGAATCTTGACATCGTATTTTCTCAGCATCATTGCTATACTTGCCTCCTGTTTTTCCTCACGGCCCACCAAACAAATTACATCTTTCATAGGGATATAACGATACACTCAACTCACGATTCGATACAATTCACGATATGATTTTCTCACAATGTTAGTAGAATGAGCTACAGACAAATTTATTCAAAAATATTCCTTTATCTTTCTAAACTGTGCAAAACATGTTCTCTCCTTAACAGTGCAACTGAAATTGAAATACCGTTTTGAATAAAATACTGTTTAAAAAAAAAATCCCAATTCAAGTAAATAAAAAAAAAATAAAAAATCTTCAAATAAATAAACTAAGGCTTGCATGTGCAGCTTTTTAGAATGGTTTAGCCCTTTAATAATCTTTGCTCAGCTCTCTGTGGTGCTGGTGGACATGCTGAAGCATGTTCATTGTGCTATTTGTGCATGTTATCAGTCTTTTACAATGTTTGCACAAAGTTGTTGTCTTGTCTGTGCTTTTCTACCCGTTTTCGTTTGTGATTACATTAAAAGCTAAAATGCTGCCACACCAATGATGTAAGATCGGGCGGTGCGTCCATCCATTTTCTGAAACCGCTTAATCCCAACTGGGGTCACGGGGAGTACCGGAGACTACCATAGGAACAATGGGTGCAGAGGGGAACCAACCCGGGCAGTCGCCTACACACCACAGGGCGCACACATTCACACAACTACAGGGCCAATTTAGACTCACCAATCAACCTATTCTGCACGTTTTTGGACCGTGGGAGGAAACTGGAGCCCCTGGGGAAAACAAGGAGAGCGTGCAAACTCCACACAGGAAGGACCTGGGACGAAAAGCAGGCCCTTCTTGCTGTGAGGCAGCAGCGCTAACCACTGTGCCACCACGGCCCCCGGCGGTGCTTCCTCAATTTCAATTTCACTCGCCATCTCGCATCCGGTCAAAGCCAAAACCTGACGTCCAACATTGACGTGAATACGCAGTGACATCTGATGTCGTGAAATCGAATGTAATATTACACTAGCTTTTTCTGTTAAAATACTATGAAGTACTCCTAAAGTAGTGATTCATTTTCCACATCAGCACATCAATTTTTTTTAACCGATTCGCGATTCATCATTACATGCCTAGTCTTTCATGGAAAAATCAGGCAAGTACAGTGGTACCTCAGAACTCGAATTTAATCCGTTCAGAACTCTGGATCGAATCCTAAAAAGTTTGAGTTGTGATCAAATTTTCCCCATAAGAAACAATGGAAAACCAATTAATTGGTTCCCGGCTGCAAAAAATTACACCAAATTTTTTTTATTATTTTTTTATTTAAACACAAAATGAACCGGATAAAACAAGAAGAGGATATACTGTACTAAACACATCTAAGGACATTCATCAAAACAGTAATTTGTAAAGCAAGAAAATAAATGTATCCAAACAATGTGTAAAGTAAAAAAAAAAACAATGTGTCCTGCCCTGATCATCCGCTCCTTCCGTGTGCCACACCCCCTCGTTAACCCCGTGTGGAATCCCCATGTGATCAGCTGTTTCTGGTTGTTGTCATTAGTCCTCTGTATTTAGTCCGCGTTTCAGTTTGTTTCCCCAGTCTGGTCATTGTATTGTCCGTCTGCGGTTTGCCTGCCTTACCTGTAATTAAACCCCGTATTCCCTGATACCCTGACGTCTGCGCCTTTGTCTCCGTTCCATCCCGCTCAGCACGACAATATGATAATTAAATGTATTAATGGTTTATTATTAATATTAAAATAAATCTATTTTTTTTATGTATTTTATTATATAATAATTAGTTACTGTCTATCATTGCCTAAATGTATTTTTACTGTCAAATATATGTATTCAGCTAGTGTAAACGTGCACGATGCTATCACAGCAAATGAGAGGCTGAGACGTGCCGCGTGACTCATGTCATCTTAGGTCGGCGTTCACGGTTTGACTTCTGAAATTCAGATCGAGTTCTAGGTAATTTTTTTTCGAACTAGTTAGTTTGACTTAAGAAATTCGAGTTCTAATGAGTTAGAGAACTGAGGTACCACTGTATTGCAAAGATGCAAAGTAAATACGGTGCGAAGATTCATTCTAGTCAGTGTATGATCCCGCCACCATCTTTCCTCAATTCCTTACTATGACTACTTCTGTTACATGAAACCCGGAAGCGTGAAAAGGGTCCATTCGGTCTGCGGTTCCTTGAGCAAGGCCCTTAACCCCCAGCTCCCTGGGCACCACTATGGGTGGCAGCCTTTCGTGGACAGCTTACTCTACTACAAAGAGCAAGTTGAGGGAGAGAAAATTTCTCCATGGGGATCAATAAAGTATCGATTATTATTAAATGTTTATGTATCATTTAATCTGGTGATTTTTCAATTAGTTAACTAATCTAAGGACTAATTGGTTGAGTAACTGATTTCTTCAGTACAAAAATCTAATTAAATAGCAAAAAGTAAAGAAACACATCAACATTTTATTGTCAAACAAAAGGAGTATGAAAACTAATAATCTTTCCAAATAAATATAAGAAATTGCAGTTCAGAAGTAAAGAACTTATGGCAAATGTGCAATTTAACAAAAGTAATGTAGTTCAAGCAATACTTGAAATATAACAAAAAGTTATGCTGCTTAATTTGGGTATCAATACAAACAGATTTCAAGTTCAAGTGACACTGGGTGCAAACTAGTGCAGTTTGAATCAGAATATTGTAACACAGAGATTAGCAATGTTAAACATTGCTAAACACGAGATGACTACTGTGGCCCCCTATCGCTGCCGTTTCCATCCTCTCCTGCCACTTATCGCTGCCATTTGGATTTTGGAATGATCTGTCTCAGGTCCACCAGGTGTATATTTTCATCCACATAATATTTTTGTGAAGTGGTAAGATCCATCAAAGACCAAATAGAGTACACAGGGTCATGTTCACAAGGTCAAATATCTAATTCAACCTTCCATTTGCTGCCAGGAAGTGGCATTGCTTCAATTTCTCTCAAAATTTGATAAGTTCCAGCTCTACAAAGCCAGAGAAAGATCCTTACAAAACCTTCAGTTACCCACTTCTTTATCATTATGCAGCACTCAATTCAAGAGCAATCTGTCTGAAATTCAATGAGCAAAGTTTGAAAAAGACCCATTAAATACTTTGAGTTATCGTCTTTATGTGAAAGTGTCTGCTGCAATGGGCTGGGTCTCAAACTACATGTATTGCCTGAACAGGAAAAAAGGATAAAACACAGTAATGCAAGTGTCATTTTACCGTCATTATCTCTTGGTACGGGTGGTCCACAATTGCAAGGTGACACTCATCGAAGACGAGCAGATTGACTTTAGATAGTGGCAAGATTCCATTCTTCAAAATATTTAGGAAAACATGGCAGGTCATAACAAGTACCTACAAAACAAAATGCATCATTCAAAACAATTATAAACCTTTAACAAATTAAATATGAATATTCTAATTTCTCTACTTATTTCAAACTTGCACCTGGTTCTCAATCATTTCATAGTTCCACTTCTCCTGTGTCCACAGAAAAGTCCTCTCAATACTGGTGTATTCTCCAACCTGAAGATCTGAATGTGTCCTAATAGCAGCTGCTTGCTGGATCACAGATGATGCTTTAAAAAAAGAAAAGAAAAAAATCATACATATAGCAAAGCTTCATTTTCAACAGCTACAGATTTTAAAATCTTATCATACACTTCATCCAAGTATTGGTGCAGTACACAACAAAAATAAGAAAAAATCTGCTTTGATTGTGCAGAAATGGTGTGCATTTACAAAATCTGACATGGACCATCTACTGCAATTCCCAAATTTAAATGATACTGTTCAAAGTTAAAGATACCATTCGTACAACAGGTAGCAAGACCACCACTCTTTTTAACCACTTGAAACATTAGCACCCCAAACATGGAGAATGGCTATGCATGTGTGAGTATATTGTCCTCAGTTGCAGTGTCCTCCATGCGTTCTGATGTAACCGAACACAAGCACACTTCTTACTGATGCAAAAGTTCTAAATCTTACATTTATGTAATTCTTTTATATATCCATTACTTGTCTTTGTTGTAAACAGAGTTCAGAAGTGGATAGTTATTGAGTCCAGTTAGAAACATTAATTTGTACACGAAACTGTTGAAAGTAAAAAAAAAAAAAAAAAAGCTAGCTAAAAAAAAATTTAAAGCACTTTTGCTGTAATGAGTCAGCTTCTTTTATATGTACAGTATTTCACATACCTTAATTTATTATAATGCTACAAGCAATGTTGCTGGTTAAATGGTTAGTAGCATTACTACATACAGCCACGGAAAAAATTACGAGACCACTTTATTTTTAAACCCATCTGCATTTTTAAATCCTGGTTTGAATTATAGTTCTGCTGGCAGATAGCTTTGCTGAGCAGCAGGTTGCTTCTAGGTTCAAAATTTCTAACACAGCAGTACACAAGAAGAAACTGAAGCAGAAGAACGACCGAGAACGACCAGAAGCCAGCCAGGTAAAGGGCGGAAGCATCATTCTAATGCCAGAGATGACCATTAACTTATCCGACAGTTTCTCATGAATCGTAGAATGACATCAAGTGACCTGCAAAAGGAATGGGAAACATTAAGTGTAGGTGTGAAGTGCACTGCTAGGACAGTTCGTATCAGGCTCCTAGCGGTAGGACTGAAGTCTGATGAAACAAGGAAGAAGCCCTTCGTTAATGAGAAACAGAAGAACCAGGCAGCAGTTTACAAAAAATATTATTCACAGAAACCCAGAAATGAAGAAATGAGTCAAACAAAAAAAAAATTGTCCTGTGGTCTCAATTTTTTCCCTCGGCTGTACATTAAAAATAATTTTTTAAAAAAACACGTAATCTATATTATGAATTGTGATAAACAAAAATAGACATTTTGACCATATTGCCCAGCCCTCCAACTCAGTTTCCACGTACATTTTTCCGAAAAAGCAAGACTTGAGCAAAAATAACACTTCATAATCCAATTAAGACCTGTAAAAATTGTATCTTAGGGTGTTTTCACATGTAGTCCTCTTTAAAGGAACCAAACTCAGACCTCTAGAAGTGGTCCCAAAAGTGGACCAACAGAAAGGGAACTCAGTTCTTTTTGTGTTCACAATGCGAGTTCATTTGAAAGGGGACTCATTCTCTTTCTGGTTTACTTCAGCTTAGGTGTTCTGTTCATACTTCAAGTTCTTATGGAGCTCTCAGACCTTTACTGCTTTGGATTCTGGGTATTTTTCACTTCAAAGAAGAGGGCTGCAAAATGGATGCAAATTCCTGTGTATTGTGGATAGTTAACGTTTTATGTTTTCTTCGTTCCAAATGTCAAGAAGCGCCGTAGTCTCCTCCTCTGACCAAACTATTCCACTTCCCACATTGCAGCCATTATTTTTGCTCGTTTCCCGGGACTGTACCACGTGATCTGCCTACGGCAAAGCTAAAGAGTAAAAATTGTTGAAGCAAGCCAGGACCGCTTTATGTTCATAATGCACAAGTTAAATGAACCGCGACATGGACTAAAAGCAAACCGGACTGAGACTACCTCCATATGTGGTCTCAGTTTGGTTCGTTTCAAAGGGGTCTGAGTTAGTTTGGCGTGTACACATATACGCAAAAAATGCTGACTAATCAGAGTTCGCTTTAAAGGATGAAAAAGACAAAGTGTGAAGACAGCCTAAGACATTTTAATGCCTAAAATAAAGATTATTGGATTTTAGGACTAAGACTTAAGGACCCACAGAAACTCTGTTACTGGCCACCGGACATCACCTGGTAAAATTCATAGGGAAGCAAAAAGATTATTCATAGAATAACAGATGGCATACGGCTGTCTTCGCAATATACCTGTAGGTTCCATTATAAAATCAGCTGCCCTTGATCGAAGAAAAAATATAGTACATAAAGACAACAGTAATAGTGATCCTGTTCACAAGAATAAGCCTCTAATCATCACAACCTTCTCTTTGCTGTCAAATACATTTTTGACTTATCACGCTACATGGTGCCGTTTCAGTTTTGAGGCAGTTTGCCTCAAAGTTTGACCACTTCTACATTGCAGGCACATTGTAGGGGTGACAGTTTGAAAGAGTCATGCAATACTTTCAGTTACTGTGTTAGATCTGAAAAACACTTTTACAGTTTTGTCCACTAGAGCTGGGCCATATCATATCATTCACGATAACAACTGTAAAAATTTTTTGCCTGGGAAAAAAAATATCATGATATGCTAATTTCATGGCGTAAAGACGTCACACCATTATGCAGCGGATTACACTCACGTGCGGCGTTAAAGTTGTGATGGTGAAGGCAAACATGGCTGGAAGGAGTACTGCTGAAGAATTAATTACCAAAAAAGCAGCTACTTCAGCAGTGTGGAATTATTTTGGATACAAACAAGCAGATACAGAACACACCACGGTAATATACAAGGAGTGCAAGAAGCCTGCGAAATCAAAATCTCTCTAACCTATTTCACCATCTCAAGCATCAGCACCCGAGTCTGTACCAGGATTATCTGAAAGTCTGGGAGGAAAGCTCAGGAGCTAATGCTATAAAACCAAAACAAAGTAAGCTGGTTCAGCATGGCATCATCAAGTCTCTCATGTACTCCGTATGACAGAAAAAGACAACTCTGGAAAGACAGAATCAGCGGGGAAGAAGACCCTGTTGAGCTTTGGCGAAAGATATGATGCCAATCCAAACGGTGGAGAAAGAAGGCTTCATGCACCTTGTTAAGAAGCTAGACGGCACTCCCAGCCAAGCATGAAGAATACCGTGAAAAGGTACAAGCCTCACTGTCATCTGTGGATTACTAACCATAGACCACAGATTTACAGTCAAGTTGGATATCAGAGCCTTACTTCAGTCTGACTGTGCACTATATTAACAGTGACTGGGAGCTGTGCAGCTCAAACACTGAGACCAGCTACTTTCCCGAGGATCACGCAAGACAAAATATTGCGACTGGCTTAAAGGAGTTTCTCCAGTCGTGGGATCTGAATGAAGAAAAACAGGTGCGCATGGCAACGGATTGTGGGGCTAACGCTGTCAAAGCTCTCAGACTTAATAACTGGATGCGGCTATCCTGCTTTGGGCATCGTCTCCATATTGCCATTGGTAGGTTTCCTTTATTCATTCCACAATTATGTAGGTTATTAGACATTAAAGTAGCACAAGTATCTGAATTATTACATAATGCTAACTACTTTCTATAGGATGATATACAAATACCACAGCTATACCATACATCAGGGAAATACTGAAAAGTAAATTCATGGAAATATTGCAGTTTGTGCAAGATTAATTAGCATGTCCTTGCCAACAATAAGGCTACTATTAATGGCATATTGACATATCACTATAACATTATGGAAAATATTATAGAAATGTTAGTACATTCTCACTAGGGACGTACATGACCTGATTATGCCTAGCATTCAAAATGCTTAAAATGTTAAAATTTCATAAATTCTGCAGTGATTTAAGGAATACAAATGAAATGTATAAATTATAAACTTTTGTGTGCTAAGATGATATTGAAACTATGATTTAAAACGGTCTCTCTTGCACTCTCCCTCCCTCACCCTCTCTGCAGAGAGAAGTATGAAGGATCCCAAGACTGACAGAGCAGTGACAGTTTGTAAAAACATTGTAAGTTCTTTCTCTAACAGTTGGAAGAGGCAGCGGGCACTGCTAGAGGCTCAAAAAAGGGAGGGTACGGCTCAACGGAAGCTCATCACGGAGTCTCCCACGAGATGGGGGTCAAGACAGAAAATGATCCAGCGGGTGTTGGAGCAAGAAAAGCCCATCACCCAAGTCTTAGCTGCTGATCGGTCAACAAGGCACCTGGTCCCCACATGGCAAGATCTACAGGTACTCGATTCTGTGAGCAAAGCCCTGGGTCCTCTGGTCGAGTTCACTGATGCTCAGTCGCCTGAGGACTGTATCATGCTTGAAGCCTGTCCTTCAGCTGTTCGACAGTAACATTCTTCTTGTGAAGGAGTTCGACACAGACCTCACAAAGTCCATAAAGAACTCAATACTGGAGTACTTGAACAGCAAGTATGAGGAAGACCCAGTGGTAGTGGAACTAATTAATTTGGCAACCATGCTTGACCCATGGTTCCACATTCGGTACATGGCCCTTGAAAAAAAGCCAGGTAATCAAAGACAGAGCAGTTAGCGAGATGGAATCATTCCTGCCAGGGCCAGTAGAAGCTGAAACACCACCACAACCTTCAGGATCAGCTGAAGACACCCCAGGCCCAAGTTATGCAAAGGTGCCAAAGAGGACCCTCAGAAGTTTTTCAAGAGGGCAGCAGCAAGTGACAGAGTTGGACCGGGACCATCTCCAAGACAGAACTCAGTTAAACAACTACTTGGATTGTCCACCTGCAAATAGTGAGAGAGGTCCCCTCAAATGGTGTAAAGTGCACGAGGTTAGCTTTCCTCATGTCAGCCGTTTGGCAAAAAAGTACCTGTGCATCCAAGCCACTAGTGCAGCCTCTGAAAGGTTGTTCAGCACAGGAGGGAACATTGGCACCTGCCACAGGACCGCACTGAAGCCTGCTTCAGTGAATAGGCTTGTGTTCTTGTACAATCTGACACTGATAACCGAAGATAACCAGCTAAATGGCTATGTTCTGCCTCTGATTGGCAGCCTTTTCAAGCAGCATTTCAATTGAAGTTTCAGCAAGTTTTGGAAGTTATACCTCATTTAAAGGTTTTTTTTTTTTAAATATTTTTTGTTGATTGTTACATTTATGCTCAAAAGATTTGAGTATTTTCATTTCATTTTTGTAAACTGCACTTTATATTTTGTGGTGGATTTTGTTAAACTATTTATGTTTTATATGGACTTTTTCAATCCAAAGAGGGAGAATTTTAATTTATTTTATTTTACTTTAAGACTAAATACTTTACTAAATAACGTTATTGCACTAAAACTAACCTGTGTAATATAATTTTAGTTTTTACAGAATATTTTAAGGTAACCTGTTATGTTTATGCTGTCAAATGATTAACAAGCATTTTTTCTGTATTTTTTAATATCGTCAAATTTATCGTTATCGTCAGAATACTCTGAAATATCGTCATATTATGTTTGGGCCACATCACCCACCCCTAGCATCTTCTACAGCTGCCATTTTTGGGTCAGTTCATCTGAAAATGAAACCAATTCTAGATCTTCATCTATATAATGTTTTTGTGCAGCAGTAATAAAATCAAATACTTTTTGACTTATTACATTCGCAAGGTCAAATGATATCTACCATCACCCTTCCCTTTGCGGCCACTAATACCCCGTTTCCATCAATGTGGTGTTGGAGCCGGTGACAGACGTTTTCCCAATCCAGAATTGGATCTGTGCATTTCCACAGTAAATACTGGCCTTAGGACAAAAAAAATAAATTAGCCGGACAATTTGATCAATAACCAATATAGTTTTGTCCAATATTGGCGGTGCCAGCAGTGAAACAAATTTACAGCACTTATTAATGTAATGTTATTGTTTTTTTATTCTATAGAAAACAAAAGATTGATTTGCTGGCCAGATTTAAGAGTTATGTCACAGGTTGAATAGATAAAATATAGTGGTGCTTGAGTGGCAAAGTGATCATGAGGTGGACAGCAAAGTTCAATTTTTAGCAGACATTGCATGATCTTTAAAAGGACAGTGGTGAAACTGTGAGGTAGAATAAAGTCACAGACTACAGAGAAATACAGAGACAAAAGTGGATGCAGGCAGTAAGGAAAATACAGTGGTACCTCAAAACTCGAACTTAATCCGTTCAGTACTCCGGATCGAATCCTAAAAAGTTCGAGATTTGATCGAATTTTCCCCATAGGAAATAATGGAAAACCAATTAATTGGTTCCCGGCCGCAAAAAATTAAACCTAAAATGTTTTTTTTTAGCATTTAAACATAAAATGAACTGGATAAAACAAGAGCATATACTGTACTCATCTAAGCACATTTATCAAAACAGTAATTTGTAAAGCAAGAAAATAAATGTATCCAAACAATGTGTAAAGTTAAAAAAACAATGTGTCCTACCCCGATCGTCCGCTTCTTCCGTGTGCCACGCCCCCTCGTTAACCCTGTGTGGAATCCCCGTGTGATCAGCTGTTTCTGGTTGTTTTCATTAGCCCTCTGTATTTAGTCCGCGTTTCAGTTTGTTTCCCCAGTTCGGTCATTGTATTGTCCGTCTGTTTTGCCTGCCTTACCTGTAATTAAACCCCATATTCCCCTATACCCTGACATCTGCGCCTTTGTTTCCGTTCTGCCCCCGCTCAGCAGGACAATATTATTATTATAATGAAACATATTAATGGTTTATTATTATTATTATTATTATTATTAAAATATTAATATCAATATTAATATTGAAATAATAATAAATTTTTAAAATAAATCTTTATTTTTAAATGAATTTTATTATATATACTCACTGTTACTGTCTATCATTGTCTAAATGTATTTTTACTGTCTAAATATATGTATTCAGCTAGTGTAAACATGCACGATGCTATCACAGCGAATGCGAGGCTGAGACTGAAGCTTTACCCTTTGTCTCAGATGAGAGGCGTGCTGCATGACTCATTTCCCCGAGCCTACAAGTTCTCTTAGGTCGGCGTTCACGGTTTGACTTCTGAGATTCAGATCAAGCTCTAGGTAATTTTTTTTCGAACTGGTTGGTTTGACTTTTAAGAAATTCGAGTTCTAATGAGTTTGAGACCTGAGGTACCATTGTACAATAATTCATACTCTGAAAAAAGGCATGTCTCCTTAAAGGCTCTTTTTTTGGTTCAGCAGTTAAAAACTTAAAATCAGAAACAGATCAAAATAAATGCAAAAACAACAGAAATCATATGGACCTCTACTTCGCACTGCTGCCTACTGAATGTTTCCACTCCATTCTTTTTCAAAACCAGTGAAAATGCAGGCAGGTTCTCATAAGGCACCAAGTGAGAACCAGCAATGCACTGGCACCAGCTCTGTGTTGGCAGAAATGAGAAATATGTAGCGTTGCTTTTATTTTTGGGCAACTGGTCTCAAAATTTAATTGAAAAAGATCTATTAAACAGTTTCTGAATCAGTTGTTTCCAGTTTTGTTTTCTGCAATCTGGCGAGTTAGTGAGCACGTTTTGATCACTTTTCTGCTACGTTTTGTTTTCTGTTTATTCTTATTTTTACCACCTGCTTCTCTTGCCTGCCCCTTCCCTGTGACTGACTCATGTCTGGAGTCCTGTCAATCACCATTACCCTACACTGCTTGCTCCATGAACTTGCACTGTTTTTACCTTTCTATCACTCTGTGGACCAACCTATCTGGACTCATGCCATTAGACCCAGTTCCATTTGCTCTTCAGACAGATGCCATCTTATCTGGCTGTGTTCTGGTAAGTTTCTACTTTCGCACTCCTGTTGGGATTATACCTTCCCTGTAAGCATGTCCATGTGGGCCAGATATCCAGTCTATGAGGTTCTGGTACATCTGGTACTTTGTGTACATGACTCAGCTGTTGATCATTTCCTGGGCCAGAACAAGGCTGTGCTCTTTGAATGAACCATTACTGCAGCTTCATCTCATTTCACCCATGAGATACTCACTCCCACCCCCATTCATAACCTGCAACTTAATAATTGCTCCCTGTAGAATGGGTGTTCAGCAGCATTTCTACATTCTCTAAGGTTCCAGAAAAAAAAATAAAAAAATCACTCCTAATTTTGCCGCCAATGCGACAAAATACAGATTATCTAAACCAAACATTCATGTTTTTTTTCACAAGCAGTACAATTCACATATTCTTGTTTTGCTTACAACGATGTGAATTAAGGCAGGTAATGGGTCATTTTAACTATTGCTTAATTAATAAATACTTGCTCAATCAATTATTTAAATTCTTTCCAGTTCACCATATAAATACTTTGTTGGAATGTTAGAACAGGACACGCAGTGCTGCATGAATAAATAAAATTTAAAAAAATAATAATCACCTTTTGCATTGAGCAATACAGAATTATTGATAAGGGTCACAACATAGCACCAAATAAGCCCTACTGAAAGTGACAAACAACTTAATTCTACTTGATCCTGTTAACCATAATATCCTTCTTGAGTCTTTGTTATGTTGTATGGATCCAAGGAGCAGCCTTAAAATGGTTTATATCTTATTTGGAAGGTCTTTTCCAGTCAGTACAGGATCATTTTAGGTCCTCTCGTTTTCACTCTATATGTGCTACCTTTAGGGTCTATTTGTGAACGTTATAATGTAAATTACCATTGCTATCACACAACTATCTGCCATTAAAACCTGGTTATTGGTGCTCACTGATGGCCCTTTCTTTCTGGTTATATTGCACAGGCTGCAACTCAGTTCTGAACAAAAATGTTTTTAAGGCAACACGTGATATAGGTCACCAGCACATTTCAGAGCTTATTCAGCCCTACGCTGCTTTTTGGAGCCTCAGATCAGCCAATGAACAATAACTTAATTTTCAGGCACACTTGAAATGAAAAGGTGACCATGCTTTTGCCACTGTCGTGCCCAGGTTGTGTGATGCCCTTCCACTGCATGTAAGATTAAAAGTATAAATAGTTGCGGATAAAGTCATTCAAAAACTACTTTTACTGTCGGGCCTTTAGGTCCGTTTTATCTTAATTTTCGTGTAATGCTGTCCAATGTCTCTGCTTTTATCATGCATTTTATTCATTACAGTATTATTTTGATATACAGCACTTTAGTGCAACATGTTGTTTTTCAATGTGCTATATAGGGCTGGGACGATCATTCGACGTAATTGATAAAGTTGATTATAAAAATGCGTTGACGCGTTGTGTAAAACTACATAAATGCTTTATAACTGCAATGCACTATGTGATAAGCTAAACGTATTGTAAGGGAAAGTACTTTATCCCCTCAGGAGCACGTTAACGCTGTCCTATTAAGAATCCCGCAATAAAACAATCTGCTAATAACTGAACTTTACTGTCCACCTGATGATCTCTTCGCCACTCGAGAGCTACAATATTTTATTTATTGGACCTGCGGCATGGTATTGAAAAATGTGTCGTTAGATTACTCAAATAATCGAAAAAATAATCTCTACATTAATCGTTTGGGACAGCACTAGTGCTATATAAATTAAAATGACTTGTCCTGACTTGAAAAGACAGTTTTAAATACTGTAAATGGAATTCCCTGTTTAAATTACTATACAGTAGTCACTGACATACCATAGCCATGACTGGCTTGTTACCCAGTGCAATATGGTATTCAGAAGGCTGCCAGTTCAAATCCTGGAGCCAGCAGACTAATACTGTCATTTGGCCCCTCAGCAAGACCCTTAGTCTTCAGCTCCAGAGGTGATGCAACCTGGGTAACCCTGTATTGTGACCCCCAAACTTGCTCTCACCTGTAAATGTATCTGTGTGTCTCATGGAGAGCAAGGTGGAATAGGCTAAGAGACTATTTCTGGGCATGAATAAAGTATTATTATTTTATTATTGTTCTTATATGCACCTAATACGCAGTTCTTACCTGAATTTGCCAGGAAAACAGTTCTTTTGCCATATCCTCGGAAATCTCCCCGAATTTGATGAGAGAGCTGTTTTGTCAAGAGTACTGCAATAAAGGTCTTCCCTGAGCCAGTATTTAAGCAGACTATAGTATTGTGTTCAAGAGCTGCTTCAAGAAGTTCAACCTGTTAAAGAAAATGATTATTAAACACAGTGAGTGCAAATTATTACATTTCAGAATTTTACATTTGAGTATTCAATTTCACTTTTCGACTCTTCCCCTTCAAATCCTAGAAATTTTACTTTCAAAAAAAGTAAAAAGTAAAAGGTGTAGTGTGCGCAAAACAGAAACCACAAAAAAGAGCTCACACAGATTACCTGATATTTCCTTGGTGTGTAAATGTTGTCATGGATGGCCTCTTGTTGCCATGGTAGACCAAGGAAAGGCCCCATAGATGACGATGTGGGGGGTACAAGCTGTAGGCCAGCCATACCAAGGAGTTGTAAAGCTGGGTTCTCAACTCTTCCAGTGTTCATCTCATTTCTTTGTGTTTACTAAAAGGAAAACAGCACCATTACTAACACACATAAACGTAATCACACACATCACAAATGTGACAATAATTCATCAACGTCTTACATAATTACTTGTGTAACGACAATTGTTATACATGTAAGCACTTATAGAAATACTATCCGAAGTATATTTGATTATTAATAAAAGTTAACAATAAAAGAAAGTTCTTTTGGAAAGAATGCCAAGAAAATGAGGATCAATTTTATTATTGAACCATTAAAAAAAGTTTCTTGTCTGGAAAGAAATTCTATTATTTAACACCAAAAAACATATATAATACTATTCTGAACCAACTACAAATGCTTATCTTTAGATACGGTTAAACCTGCAATGCTGAACAACTGAGACCCAAGTGAATTTTTAATGCTTTCTCTGAAGGAGCAGGAATTTTATTAATATTCCTACCTGCGATGAACTGGCTTCCTGTCCAAGGTATACCCAAGCCTTGTGCCCTATACTACCAGGAGGCCAGCAGTTGGAAGATTGATGGTAGGAACCATGAATCATAAGATATGCCTACCATAACCCCATACCACCACCTAGCTGAATAAATTTTAATTGCTCATAAAAATCTAATATTTTTAATATAAAAACTCAGTAAAATCCATGGGTGCCTAGGCAGGTAATACAGAGACCATAATATGACTCCTTCACTAAAGACAATGAAATGCTATGGAATGATGCAAGGTTAGGGCTGGGGAACACGGCAAAATATTTCATCACGATAATTTTTTTCCATATCAAATGATATAATTCAAGTCATTATTGCTTTACCTCAATGCTTCAGTTTTGCTTAAAAAGATTGCCCTTAAATAGATTCAAAACATGAAAAAGCAAAATTAACTGATATCTAATTTTAATAAATTATACGAAAAACTTTGTCATAGGACACAATGAGAAAATGCCAACAGCACATTTTGTTGCTAGGTTGTAAATTACTAGTGAATAAAAAAGACAAATTCATAATACTTAATATATATACTTAAATATGTAAACGATAAAATTACCAAAAAGCTTAGTTTTTGTCCAATAAAAAGCACAAGATAAATATTAGAATGGAAGACAATTTGACTTCAATTTTACTGGGATTTCTCAAAATTCAGCTATACAGATCTTCACTTATACAACGTCTGCTACAGTAGCAGCGCAGATCAGCCCCAAAACCATATATATTCCCCAGCAACTGAGAAATACAATTATGCATTGCACAATGAAGTGATCCTAATACATAATTTTAACAATTATGACATTTGCTGACCCACGCCTCCCTTGTTTTCCTTTCCTCTGTGCCTTATGGTGAACAGCAAGGACCTTAGGGTGCTTTTCCACCAGACCAAGTACTGTATTTTTGGTACTTTCCCTTTTCCATCGACTTCCGGTCAAGTACAATTACCAAATGTTCCAGTACCAGAAGTGCTGGGATACTTAAGTACTATGGAGTGGAACTTGAAATGCTTTCTCTGTCAACTGGTTAAGCAAATAGTCTGCCTCTGAACACAATACATACAGCACCTTGAAAAGTATTTTAATATACTAGGACTGCATGCTATATGCGTGCTGTCCTAGTGAAGTGACTTTGTGCCTTATCTAATGAAACCACAATCTTATTTTCCATATACAAGAAGCTCAGCAGTTCCAGACACCGATCTGTCGTTCCTTTTTTATACATTCCTACATGTATAGTGTCTCTCTCAGCCTGTCTTCTCTACCTGCTGTTATTTACCTTATTTGATAATGAAAACATTTTATTGCCTAATTTGACTCGATGTTCCTTCTAATGTAGCATACATTTTCAGTTTTCATAAAAATGGTGTGGTCATGAGACAATTGATTTCACACAGGATAACACGTGGTAAACCAGTACAGAAAGTCGATTTTTATTAAAGGTTAGTAGCAATCTGGAACAAAGGTCCACAGGACACATAAGATCAATTACAAGCGCTGTTTTGCTAGTTAAAGCCAACGATCACTGAACATACGGTTTCTCGATTGGAAATATTCCGATATTCTAAGAAATACAGCGTAAATGCCATTCGTGCAAAACAGCTACCCATTTTCGGGGAAAAAAAATCTGTAAATAAGTAGTAAAATGGTTTTTATCCTTTAAAAGGACAACATTGTATGTTTTTGGCAAGAGACTTGAGGCACAAAATAGTTACTTGGATTGAACATACACTGTCGTCATCCGCCATACACATAAAGCAACCAGCTACCTGCGAACATCACTTCGCTGTTATTAAACATTATTCCTACATATATTAGGCTTTTATTTAGAAAAATGCAAGCAAATTTGTTGATTCTCACGCGGCAAATGACGCTCAGTAGCACCCAGGAGAATGCAAAATGTGGCAAGGATTGAGCTCTTAGGCCTCACCACGACCTTGGGCTTACTATCTAACCAAATACGCTATTCAAGGCCCCCAACTGCACAAACACACTTTCTGAATTATTAAGGCGTTCATTTTTAGGCATAATGAAATGAAAGTCATGTAGAATATATGGTAAAAGAGACATGAAACCCAGCTAAGCAGCACAAAGCCATCCGCTAGCTGTGTATTATGGTACAAGTTCCGGGATAGCGTACACGTTTACAAGCTACAGTTTGACAAATTACCTCTCAGATAAGTTTCATTTTAAAATCTTTAATTTATTTAGCCACACGAATAGCTGAATACTGAAATAAATGCCTAGAATGTGTCATTTAACTGCGTAATGTCAAGGTAAATGCGTAAGCTACACATAATTTTACTTTTGCTAGCTAAAATAATTAAGGTTTCCCTTTATCTTAAAGTATGCCAAGGGGAAAGAGCTACTTAGTTAGACGAAATAATAATGGTGTAGAGTAGTTGCAGTTCCCCTCCCCCGCCCATTAAAAATACCTCAATGAGCTGGAGAGCAGCACTGTCGCTTACAGCCGCGGAACACCCTTCTCCTCCATTCCCTCTGGCTCTTCTCAGACTAATACTTCCTTTTACTCGGCATAGGGATACAATTTTTAAATGCGTAAGTTACGCAATGGTACTAACTTTGTTGTTAAGTTACGATTACTATGTGATGCATGCGTATTCTGGGCCGTGAATTCAAATGCCTGTAGTGAGCAACGTAACAAAGATTTCAATTGGTCTCTCTCTCTGTCTCTCTCTCTCTCTCTCTCTCTCCCCGGAAGAGATAGTGGCTTACAGTGCAGTGGAGCACAATTTAACTAAATGCTTGAAAAACTGTTTTTGCGGCCCGCATTCACTTAGTAATTCCTAAACCTAATTTTACTGTACTCATGCCTGTACTAATTCTATGCCCTAAGCCCTTACTATTTTAGCCTTAAATCGCGATGCCGTTTTTGTACCGCTGCACGTATGTATCGAAGTTAAGCCATTAATTGTTGATTTAATTTTATTGATAGATGAAGGTTAAGAAATTGAGACATCCCACTGGCACAAATTCACTCATTACAATCTCGAATATTTTCTTTGACAAAGGTAGCATACACGGGGGAACAGAAAATAGACGCAAATTCACGCAAGAAATCTTAGGGCAAATGTATATTTTTCCATTATAAAACTAAGAATACGTGTATGAAAAGCTTTGGGGTAGTTTGTAAAACTGTTACATGTGCACGAGTGTGCAGACTAGACTCTCGATTTGAAAATCTCACGCCAGCCAGCTGACCAAAGTTGGTAACACTGAGAGTGAGATAAATGGACTCCAAAATATACACTGCTCAAAAAAATTAAAGGAACGCTTTGAAAACACATCAGATCTCAATGGGGGAAAAATCATGCTGTATATCTATACTGATATGGACTGGGTAATGTGTTAGGAACGAAAGGATGCCACATCATTTGATGGAAATGAAAATGATAAACCTACAGAGGGCTGAATTCAAAGACACCCCAAAAATCAAAGTGAAAAAATGATCCGGTAGGCTGGTCCATTTTGCCAAAATTTCATTGCAGCAACTCAAAATCGTACTCAGTAGTTTGTATGGCCCCCACGTGCTTGTGGGCATGCCTGATAACGTCGGGGTATGCTCCTAATGAGATGACGGATGGTGTCCTGGGGGATCTCCACCCAGATCTGAACCAGGGCATCACTGAGCTCCTGGACAGTCTGAGGTGCAA